TACAGTGAGCGAATCTGTTGCAAAACTCTTGGTTGTTGTTCAGTCCTTAGAAATCCTGCCAGATTTTCAGAGGAGAAAGCCTGGGTGTGTGGGGGTTGTGGCCAGGGGGTACTGCTCCTCCCTAGCCAAGCCCAGGGAGGTGCATTTCCCACGGTTGGGTTCTCAGAATTACTTGAGTGTAACAAGGTCTCTTTGACCCTTGGCCCCCTTTTCTCTCACTGAACATCTTCTAGACTCTAAAATGCAAATGAAATCATGTGGATTTTTGTGAAGGTTTTGTGACAAGTTGGAGGAGGAGGATTATATCATAAATGCACCATAAAAGAACCTAAAGAGGACCTATAAATATCCCAACCCTTTAACATTTTTCTTGCTACAACAGCTGGCACGTCTTTCTGGTCTTTTCTGTCCTTGCCCTACCCTCTCCTCTCTAGATTTGCTCAAACCTTCTCCCTCCCAGCACACACCCATGCACACCCTCTCCACACTCCACTCAGGAAGACAAAGCTGTTACAATAGAGCCCAAGAAAACAAAAGCCACAACCAACATTTGTCCTTCAAGCACGTCCCTGGGGAGTCCCAGTTCTTCCCTCTAAACTAGAAATGAAAATTATCTACTCAAGACCTGAGACACCCAAGTTGACTTTAGCTCAGATCTGATGTTCCAGAGTCATTGTACCTTATGAAGGGAATACGAGGCGTTTTAAAATGAGGGGTCAAGGAAAGAGAACAAATGTGAATAGGCTAGTGACAAGGGGTGTTAGCAAAACTTAACCACCTGTTGTGTGCCAGTCACACGGCTGTATGTGTTGACATGAGTTACAATACAATGAGAGAAGAAAGGCCTGGCATGTACTACATGCTAAACAAATAATGGTCGTCATCATAGAGCTCAAGGCCCCTCAGGACTGTAGCTCAGATCTAACTCCAAAGTTCATGGCATTTCCATGGCACCATTCTGAATCTTATTAATACCACAGACTGGGTGAGATTTCATGAGCCACTGTCGGGGTCCTCTGTCTCCTAGTTGCTAATCCCTTCCCTTGCCTCTTTTTCCAGTAATAGTTGTTAATAGAATCTTTAGGGTGTGATGGATCTTTGGGCTGTTTTCAGCGGTGTCCAAGCTAAGTACTGAGATCTGGAGCAGAAGGTGAGGTGGTTCAAGGAGTCCTCAGTTTCTTCACCTCCACAATATATTGAAGCAAATAAACCAAGAAATTAGTCTGCCTCAAGGTTATCTGATCCAATGACATCTTAGTCTGTCAGCATCTCTTTGTACTCAACATTCATTGCTTTAGATGGGGAAAAAATAAGAAAGGAAGTCTGAGGCACTCAGCATTCAGACCTCCTTCTTCTTTGCATGGTCTCAGTGTTTTCATCAGTGGCTAACTTTTATACACATGATTAGGCCCCGGAAGCTTTGAGGAAAGAAAGGTCATGAATCCTCTAGTGAAAAAAAATACAAAAACATATGTACATACAGGATACTGAGTGATGGAGGAGAAAGCAGGGGACTTCTACCTTTTCTTCTGGATTAGTTAGGATAGGCTGGCTTTGCTGCAATAACAAATTAATATCTAAATCTCAGTAGCTTAACACCACAAAGTTTCTTTGTTGTTATGCCATCAGAATAGAGGTGGCCTCATAGGACCCCACAGCAGGTGAAGAAGTGTGGAGGTGGTCAGCTGGTATTAAATACCACACTCGTAAATGATTCATGTCACTTCTGCTCACATGGCCTTGAGCCTGGGGTCTTTCCGTATGCCTAAGGAGAGGTAGACCAGGCACCCATCATCTCTAGCACACATACATGAGTCCTTTTCCTATTTCTCTTTCCCTCTATGTCCTGCTGAGGCCCACGATCCATCACTTAACTTCTGCTACTCCACCCACCGGGAAAACCTTTTCCCATCCCGCACCTGTCCAGATACACCTCTGTTCCTGGCCCTTGTAGCTGAGCATTCCTGCTAAGCAGAGTCGTAGCCATCGATGGTAGGGTGGGGAGGCTCCTTTGGGCCTGCCAACCAAACTAAGGCTTTAACTGTTTTTCATTTAATCCTTGAAAGACTTTTATGAGATACATATTATCCTCGTTTTATAGGTAGGAAAACTGAAACTCAGAAATGTGTGTAATTTTCCAAATAATACAGATAGTAAGTGAAAAATACTAAACTAGAATTTCATTTATCCATTCAGATTTCAATAAACATTTATTGAGTGCAGCTTTTATTGATATGTGGTCCCTCATCCGCTCGAGGTTAATAACGTTGTCTTTGTGTCTAGGCTGGCAAAAATACTTAACTGCTCTGTGTCTCAGTTTCACCACCTATGAAACAGTGACAGTAACACCTCTCTTACTTCACAGGGCTAATTTAATGGGCTAATGCATACCAAGCGCTTAGTGCAATGCCCCGCTAATATTAAGTACCCAAAAAGTAGTAGCTGGTGGGAGAACCAACAAATAGCAGTTGTATCAATATACAATGATGAGGGCTTTGATGAAGGTAAAGTCAGGATGCTGTGGAAGCACTGAGAAGGGAAATGTAAGTCAATTTAGGGTGTGCATTCTCAGGCATGTAGTCACTGAGACAAAGTTTTGAAAGAAGTGTGACAATCATCATACTGAACAAGGTTGGAGAGGAAGACAGGGAGGCCTTCTGAGTGAGGGAGTAGCACATGCAGGTCACTGGAGGCAAGAGAGCAGGCCTCTGAAGTTGAATGGGACAAGGCGAAGGGACCATGGCTGGAATGCTAGGAGTGACCAGAGGTGAGGCTGAAGAGGTAAGCAAGGCCACCAGGGACCCCAAGGACTCTGGATGAGCCCCATGGCATATATAGGAACATTGTCCCGAGACAGTGGGAGCCCTTGGAGGTGCTTAAGCAGACTGCCTATGTCACGAAGGCCACCCTAATTGCAGCTTAGAAAATGGAGCAGAGCAGAGCACTGAGGCGAGGATGAGGCTGGAGCCTGGGAGAACAGGGAGGAGGCCGCCCAAAGAGGCCAGATGGGAACACTTGAGTCACTTCTTCTCCCAGCCTTCTCTTTCTTCTTTTTTTGACATGCAAAGCCAACAGTCTTTGTTTTACCTAACCAAAAGATTGGAAGGAAATTTAATAAAAATATCCGCTTAGAACAGGAATTGGCAAACTTCTCTGTAAAGGGCCAGGCAGTAAATATTTTCAGTTTTTCCAGCCATGTGGCCTCTGTCACAATGGCTCCACTTTGTCATGGTAGCAGAAAAGCGGCCATAGATAATACATATGAAATGAGCACGGCTGTGTTCCCATAAAACTTTATTGAAGGACACTGAAATTTGAACTTTATATAATTTGCATGTGTCACAAAACATCACTCTTCTTTGTGTTTTTTCCCAGCCATTAAAAAAATGTAAAAGCTATTCTTAGCTGGTAGGCACACAGAAAACAGTGGAGGCCGGATTTGGCTTACCAGCCATAGTTTTCTGACCTCAGACTTAGAATGTGCCTTGAAAATGGTGACGTTCTCCATACCTTAGAGGATGGAGTGTTATGATTACTGTTGACTGGTGGTTACATGTTACAATATTTCTCAGCTGTTGATCACACTTGCCGTTTGTGTGAGTTTTTAAAATTGTGTATTTCCTGTTTATCAGTTGGTCCGGGATGCACTACCCCCTCTCCGTTTTGCATGAGGACGTTACAGTCACTAGAAAAATGCGCAGCCTTGACCAAGCATAGGACACCTCCCTGCTTTGTGAATCATTTCTTTAGAGAGGCAGGTAGTGGGTTTGAAAGGACAGGAACATCAAAGTCATACAAACCAAGGACTGAATACTGGCTCTGCCAGTTAGTAGTTCTGTGACCTTGAGACAGTTGTATCAATTTCTAATTCATCATTATTTCCTTCCTTCATTCATTTATTCAACAGATATTCACTGAGTACCTACGATGTGCCAGCTCCAATGCAAGGCCGCCACAGGACACTAGTAAAGGGGACACAGATTGCCTTCAAGGAGATTCAAAACTGAGGGGGAGGCAGCCACTTAAAATTCAGTGAGGCTGTCGCTTTGAGAAGGGAAGACAGAGAAGGGGCATCTGACCCATAGATGGTGAGAGTTCCTGGAGAGAAGGGGTTCTGAATAGTCATTATCCAGGTGAAGAGGCAAGAAGAGGGTATTTCCACACCCAGTGACCAGCCTGGGTCAGACCGGCCAACAAGAAGGTGGTGGCGGGGGCACTGTTGTTGGTGGAAAGGGGTTGACTGTGCTTGGAGCAGAGCATCGAGTGCAGGGGTAAGGGTGGAGAGAGGCCGAGGGGCAGGCAGGGAATTCACCGTTGATGGCCTGGGAACCGGGTTAAGGAGACTCAAGTGTACCTTGAGCACCATGGGGTCACTGATGTATTTCCATTGAAGGATGGAAAAGAAAATAGATTGAAAGGGAAAAAGACTGGGGGCAGGAAGTAACTCAAGTGAAGCAGGAGGGTCTCTTGAACTGAGTGGAAATGAAATTGGAGAGAAGGGAGAAGCTTCAAGAAATTTTCTGGAGTAGAATTAATAAGGCACGCCAAGTGATGAGAAGTGGGAGGTCAGTGAAAAGGAGAGGTAAAGGATGATTCCCGGGTTTTAGACAGTGGCTGTATGGGTGGTGGTGCCATTCACTAAGAAAGGGAAGGCGGAGGGAGAAGATGTCTGGGCGGAAAGATGATGGGTTCATTTATAATAATACTGACCTTTCTGGGTTGTTCTAAGTCTCAGAAGCATTGTATGCGGTACCTGGCAGAGTCCCTGGCATGTCGTGGGTACTTGATGAATGATGACTCTTATTCTTGTTTCATTAAAAAAAAATCTATTTCAGGCCCTGTTTTGTTAGATCAGGATGTTCTTTTGCTGTTTACTGTGAGCTCTTCAGAGCCACAAGATTTGCAGTTGTGTTCGCCGTACCTACCACATGTGTTCATGTGTGTTTCTTTCTCTCCTTCTCTTCTGCATGCTGCCTGGGGACTGGCTTCCTTGTGGTCAGCACCAATGGGCAGCGCCCAGGTGACCCCGGGGACTCCACTCTGCCTCCTCACCACAGGTGATCACCAGAGCCCTGGGCGGGAGGGAGGGGAGAGCAGCCCATGCTCAGTAGAGCAGCCCACGCTCAATGGGCCCTCCAGGCCAGGTGCACCAGAGGGGAACTGGCAGTCCCTCTGCTCCACCCAGGCATCCACCCACCCAGCCATCCATCCACCTGCCTACCCATCCTTCCATCCCTCCTTCCATCCATCCATCCATCCATCTAGCTACTCATCCATTCACCCATTCTGCTAATGCTTACAAAGGACCTGCATGTGCCAGGCACTGTTCTAGGCACTGAGGTATACAATGATGAGCCAAAGAAAACATATTCCTATGCCTTTGTGTGGGGGAAAGAGCCAGGAGTCCAAAAAAACTACACAAATAAATGTACACCTGCAACTGTGAGTCATGCTACGAAGGAGAGGTGTATGGTGTTCAAAATAAACAAACATACCTGGAGCTATGGGATTGATTCCCAGGGGACATGACAACTGAGCTGCTGTCTGAGGTTGGGGAAGAAGTTGACCCAGCATATCTGTGCTTAGGGAATGAGTAGATCTGGCTGTGATCCCAAGTCTACCATTTGTCTTGGACAGGTCACTTCAACGTGGTGCGCCCCACCTCTCCTGGCTGGAAAGTGGAAATAATAATAATGCTTACCTCTGAGGGAGCACCGTTTTCTTATAGACTTTGCACATGCAGTATCTTCTGGAGTCATATCCAGAGATGGAACAAGATAGTGAATGTGAAAAAGGCTGCTCTGGGAGTGCCCAGTCTTGAGTGGGCATTTGTTTGAAGTGAATACCAGGCCCTTCCCTCTAACCCATTGTGGCTCAGTCCCACTTCGTGTGCACACCTGCCACACCTCAAAGGTTGGGTTGCAGAGCCCATCTGTGTCAGAGGCTGGTGCCGATCATGGGGCCCCAGGGACAGAAGAGCCCCTGCTCATCTGGAGACCTCTCCTGCAGGGGCCCCTCTGGTCAGTGGAAGCTTCTTGGAGATTTCAGATCTTTAACTGTCACCTCTCAAAGTTGTTGCTCAGACAGCAGCCTCCCCTCTGCTAGTTCCTGACTGGTCAGTTTCTCACGGTGGGAAGAGGGTGTGTCAGGCAGGGACGACGTGAGTCCCGCCATCCAGGACCCCTCGCGGTCCTCTTCTGTTCACCCCCTTGCCCAGACTCAGAAACATGGCTGTTTGTGATGGGCTTAGGCTGGGTTTCCTGGTCACCGAGCCTGAGATGGGGATTCTTGTGCAAATTGTTCATTGATGAGTATTCTCAGAAGAAAGAAAGTGAGGAAGCTGGCGAAGGCAGGGGAAGATGCCAAGGGAGGATGTGTCACAGAGGCGCCCCCACCTTGAGGCAAGGGAGCCAGCGTCTCTGCTGCTGTGGCAGTCGGCCACTGCCCGTGTCCTGGGGAGATGACTTCCCGTCGCCTCATGGCAGTCCTGCAGGGAAGGAGGTACCCGTGAGCTCTCAGCAGCCAGCACCCACCACAGCTGGAGACCTCCAGCAAAGGAGGCCTGGGCAGAGCCTCTGTGGCATTCACTACGGCCAAGTTCTGCCCCGCCTCAGTGCCCACCATAAACCCCCATAGCCCGATGTGTCACCACCAACACCCCAGGAACGTCGTCGCCCCTACGCCACCCTAGACAGCCCCCCAGCCTCACGCTCACCCCAGGGGGGCGGGGGTTGTGGATGGATGCATGGTGGCAGGAGAGGAGAGTGAGGCTTACCATGGACCCACACCCAGTTTATGGAGAAACAGTGCTTCTCCGGGGCATGTGAGCAGTTCCGTTTCTGCTGGGCCGTGGTTCCCTAGGCTCTCTTCAAGTCAAGCACTCCCGTAATGTTTTCTTTCAACAGAGCCAATCCCATATCAGGCACATTTGTTTTAAACTCTTGCCTTCTGAGGCATCTGAATGCTCCCTCTCTGACAGGTTTATTTCATTGTGTTCCATTTATTTCCACGCCTTTCTCAGCCTCATTTGATGGGTGAGGTGCCTGCGAGTGTTTCTCTTCGAGCAGGCTGTCCCTTTCCAAGGGTGTTTTCATTAATGTTCATCCCTGGTAGCAGTAACAGCTGATGTAAATAATAACTGCGTGGATCTGAGTGATGGGGTTATTATTAGACGGTAAGCACAAGCAGCCTCCTTTTGCATCAGCACCAACTCAGGACTGCGGGACGTGGCTGTGGGGCGGGGGCAGGCCGGCTTTCAGAGTGAGCAGAGGCTGAATTCAAGGCTCAGCTCGGCCGCTTTCTGTCCTGGTGATCCTGGGCAAGTCAATTCTCTCCTCTGGGCATTGGTCTTTGTCGGGAGAAGCAGGGATGACAACACATCTGGCCAGAGTTAATCGTGAAAATTAAGTGCGATAATTCCAACCAGCTCTTCAGGTCTTTCTGACTTATTGGCCTTTCCTTCAAGGAATTCATGCTCTGGGGTAGGGTTTCCAACCTTGGCACTGGTGACACTTGGGGGTAGATAATTCTTAGTTGTAGGGGGCTTTCCTGTGCATTGTAGGGCATTTAGTGCCTCTGTAGAACCTCTACCCATTAGATGCTGGGAGCACTTCATCCCCCAACTGGGACAACCAAATGTATCTCCAGACATGGCCAAATGTCCCTGGGTGGCAAGAGTACTTCCGGTTGAAAACTTCCAGACTTGCAGTGTCCAACAGAAATAGAATCTCAGCCGTGTATGTCATGTTAAATTTTTTAGAGTCATAGTAAAAAAGTAAAAAGTAACGGGTAAAATTAATTTGAATAAATTTTATTTAACCTAATGTCTACAAAATACCATTTTAACATGTAATCAATATTTTTAAATTACTAATGAACAATATGTTACAGTCTTTTTTTTTTAACATTAAGCCTTGGAAATCTGGTGTGAATTTTACACCTACAGCACTTCTCAGTTCAGATGTTAAATTTTACACACCTAAAAATGAAATGTAACCCTAAAAAGATAAACATTGTGTTTAACAAGCAAATATACTTTACAGTGCTTTGGTGTTAAGATTTGAATTTGTGGAGATAAAATAAATTTTAAGATTCAGTTCCTTCATCCCACCAGACAGATTTCAAGTGCTCAGTAACCACGTGTGGCTTGGTGATTATGATCTTGGACAGCAGAGACATAGAGGTAAAAAATGTCTTGACCATCTTTGTGCCTAGTCGGTGAACAGGTTGGATGCACAGAGTATAGAGGCTCAGTAAATGCTCGACTCTCTTTATTCCATTCTGACAGCGCACCCCCACTGACCTTTGACAGTGTCTGGAAATGTACATGGTTGTCACAGCTGGGTGTGAGGGCTTGCTGGCATCTGGTGGGTAGAGTCTAAGGTTGCTTCCATTGAAAAAAATAAGATAGAACCTCCGATGGCCAAGATTGGGTGTTTTCTGTCATGACCTGAGGCTGCAGTGGACAAGTGACTAGTTATGTAACTAGTTAGTCATGAAGGACCCGGTGGACCCCAGACCCACCGCCGCAGAAAGAGTGCCTCTTCTCTGGCCTCTGCAGTAGCTCAGCCAGGCCTCCAGGGGATGCTCCTGATAGGAGGCTGGCAGCACTCAGGCCGGAGGCTAGAATGGATGCCCTGAAGGTCAGCCAGGCAGCCCTGCTCTGGTCTGAGCCCCCCGGGCTGACCCAGATTCACTACCTGGCCCGTGCTCAGTGCCCCGTGACAGTTCTCCCCAGGGAGGAGGGCTTTGGGACAAGCCCTCATGGAGAGCCCAAACTCTATTCCTTAAAACTGGGGAACTTTGGCAAATCACTCAGCTTTTCTGAGCCTTGGTTTCCTCATCTGTGAAGTAATCAGGATGAGACCCTGCACTGCCAGGCTCAGTCAGGGTGTGGGTCGGCAGAAAAAATGGGTGCACTTCCTGCACGGCTCCTGGCCTGACAGGGTCAGATGCAACGCCACGCTACCACTCCTTGCTTTGAGTTAAAACTCTCTGTGGTTATTTTCCTGGCAATTCTTTAAGTCATGGTTTTGCTACAGTGACTGGATTCAGGCCATAGTACTCTCTCTCTGAGACTGCTCTGCCGCTAACTGCCTCTGAAGCAACTTTGCCTGGGATGACTTGTAAATCCTGGATCAAGGTAGAAAGAATTTGAGACTTTGGGACAAGGCTCTGTGGCTGGGAGTGGGTGGGGAAGCAGCCTGGCAGCCTTCCGGAAGCCCCAGCAGGATTCCTGGTACGCCTGCAGGCTTAGACACCTCAAGGGGTTAGAGACCCTTCCAGAGGCGTTATGGCCTCTGGCAGAGGTTGATGGATGGTGTGGGAACAGGAGCTGGAGGCAGGAGGACCAAATGAAGCTCTCTGGGAAAGGCTGAGATGTATAGACCCACCATGACGGGGCCTCATGTCGGGGAGAGTGGAGGAAATCAGGCAGTGGGAGCGTAGCCTGCCGGGCTGGCTGGGGAGAGGTGGCAGCTCTGGGGGACAGTGGCATCAGGGATGTCCAACCTGATGATGCAAAGAACAATGAAACAGGAAATATGTGTTACATACTCCTTATATCCCATGGATGTGCTGAGGGTTTCACTTTATTAAGGTACTGAAACATTCCAACAACTCTTCCATGTCGGGTACCCTTATCATTCTCATCTTATAGATCCAGAAACTGAGGCTCCAATGATTGAGAATCACACAAGTCGGACATGATGAGACATGATCTGAATCCAGGTCTCTGGAAAGTCTGTATTCTTACCCACTAGGCTCTATGCCCATGGCTAGTGTTAGTGAACACCTATTATGTGCCAGTTGCTGAGAAATACCATGGTTCAGGACTGTGCCTCAAAAATGGCCTCAGGTACTAGCAGTGGCACTTTGAGCCTCAGAGAGATTACTCAATTTCCTCGCCTGAGAAATGGGGATACTAATAACTGCTAGTTGTTGAGAGGAGTAACATGAGAAATACACTTAAGTACTTAGACTTGTGCTGCCATTATTATCTGAAACCCATTTTACAGATGAGGAAACTGAGTTCCAGAGAGGAGAGAAGCAGGTAAGC